AGCATTTTCCTAGCCCACAGCTAAACGGAGTCAAAGACAGGGCCCCCTGCTCCCCCCCCACCACCCCCCGCCTCCCAGCTGCAGACTCAGAGCTTCCAGATGCACAGTCTGTATGATTTTAGGGGCCTGACCTCTTTAAAGCCACCAAAAATACCGGCCGGGGTAAGCGCCCGTCCAGCCCACTGGCAAGCAATGGTCACAGGCGCGTTCTCGCCGGCCAAGCTTTAAAAGGAAGGAACTGGGACCGGAAGCTGCCCGGCCATGTGCCTCTCCTCCCTTCCTCGGAAAGGCCCACAGGCACCGCGGCTGACATCTGCTTGGTGGCCGTCTATAAACTCGGGCGGCAAATGCCTTTTTTTTTTTAGGTAGATGCTCAACCACTGAGCCACGCCGGCCGGGCTCTGCATTTAATTTTTAAAGCCAAACCAGGGCATGTAATGTAACTGCTCCTCAGACACACGCTCTCCCTCCTTCGGTCGTCACGGCCTGACCCCGCTCCTTGGCCCCCTGTTCGCAGTCTGTGAACTGAAAACTGCACAGTAGCCAGTGAGGACCTAGTCCTGCAGCCAGCGGCAAGGGCCGGTTAACCCGTGCTTGTCATTTTTAAAGCCACCTTCTTCAAACTGCTGGGGGTTTGGGGGCTCTGGTGACCCAGGCACCCTGACCCTTAACTGCACTCGGCATTGAGTCCTGGGAGAGAAACACCATGTTGAACTTGTTGGGGCGACACTGGTGAGTAAAATTACACGGGTGTCAGGTGTACCATCCTACGACATGTCAAATGCATGTTGCATTGTGTTCACCACCCCAAGCCATGTCTCCTTCCGTCATCATTTATCCCATTTGCCCTCCCTTCCTCTGGCAACCACTGTTGTCTGGGTCTACGAATCTTTCTCTTTTAATATATATTTTTATCAATTTCAGAGAGGAAGGGAGAGGGAGAGAGAGAAACATCAGTGATGAGAGAGAATCATGGATCAGCTGCCTCCTGCACGCCCCACACTGGGGATTGAGCCCACAACCCGGCATGTGCCCTGACCAGGAATCAAACCGTGACCTCCTGGTTCATAGGTCGACGCTCAACCACTGAGCAACACCGGCCGGGCATGTCTTTCTTTTTTCTTTGCTTTAATCCCTTCACCCTTCTCGCCCAGCCCCCAGCCCCTCCCCAGCTGCCAGTCTGTTCTCTGTATCCATGAGTCTGTCTCCACTTCGTTAGCTTATTTTGTTCAGCAGATCCCACATCTACGTGAAATCCGATGGCCCTTGTCTTCCTCCGACTGGCTTGTTTTAAAGTTGGTGTCTCTGTCACCTCTGAGCCCTCCGGCTCCAGAAGCTCAAGGTCACGCTAGGGACGCAGAGGTGCTCATGGGGGAGGGGGGCTCCCTGCCATGCCTGCCATCTGTCCCACTCACTGCGCTCTCGGGCGGTCACGGTCACCCCTGGCTGCGGCATCGCCCACCCAGAGGGGTTTGTGGGTTTCCTACTGGGCACCACATCCTCCATTTCATCTCCTTCTTCAGACTCATGACGGCCCCGAGGTCAAACATAAGAAGGCCCTCCCCCACGCAGAGGGGAGGAAACAGGAACACAGGCATATGTTTCGGACTCACACTCGCGATCCGGCAGGAAACCACAGCACGGCCCTGGCCCAGGAGGTGCCCGGCTGCCAGGCAATGGCACACCCAGAGCAAGGGCTGGTGGCCCTGCCGGTGTGGCTCAGGGGTTGGGCGTCGACCTAGGAACCAGGAGGTCACGGTTCAATTCCCGGTCAGGGCACATGCCCGGGTTGTGGGTTCCATCCCGTGGGGGGCATGCAGGAGGCAGCCGATCCATGATTCTCTCTCATTATTGATGTTTCTCTCTCTCTCTCTCCCTCTCTGAAATCAATAAAAACATATTTTTAAAAAGAAGGAAGGAAGGAAGGAAGGAAGAAAGGAAGGAAGGAAGGAAGGAAGGAAGGAAGGAAGGAAGGAAGGAAGGAAGGAAGGAAAGGTCTGGTGGCTGCACCGCACTGTGAATGTGCCTAATTCCACGGCACCGTACACTTAACACTGGTTAGGAATCATCGCAAGAAAAAAGCATGTAACTATGTATGATGATGCGTGTTAACTAGGCTTTACATCCAATTTGATCGTTTTCAGAGTTTTCCTCTGGCATGACCATCCTTCCTTCTTTCCTATTTTGTCATTCCATCTTCCATTCATTCAGTAGATGTTTATGAAGCACCTGCTATGTGCCAGGCACAGTTCGAAGCTCGATGCTCAGTGTTCAGACACTGAAATAGTCCCATTGTTCCACAGCCTGGCAGCACCCCACCCCTTCCACGCTGACCACACCTCATCTCTCTCCTGGGACGCCCCCCACCCCGGACGTCCCCATGATTCAGCGTGGCAGGAAGGCTCCATGGTGACCAGCGTCCAGTCGGAGAATGCCTGGCCCTAACCCTTTGTTGAATATTTTATCACCTCCCACACACAGCAATGCATGAAACCAACAAGGTCCCTGCCTTCTAGTCCAGGAAAGAGATAATCAACAAGTAAATACACACATGAATCGGATAACTCCAGACACGGTGCGACAGAGAACATGAAACAGCCAAGGGCAGAGGGTGGCTGGAGGCGGGGGAGCAGGGAACACCTGAGAGAAGGCTCTCTGGGGAGGGACCATCTGAAGGAACCAGGAACGCAGAGGGCGGGGGTGAAGACGCTGCAGGTGGGAACAGAACTGGCAAGGCCTTCTTCTGGGAGCACACTCTGGATCCCATGGGTGGAGGACCACTGGGATGGGAGCATCTGTCTTTTTAAAAGATTTTTAAATTGACTTAGAGACAGAGTGACATTGATGTGAGAGCGAAACATTGGTCAGCTGCCTCCTGTGCGCCCCCTGCCAGGGATGGAGCGTGGCATGTGCCCTGACTGGGAATCGAACCCACAACCTTTCCCTGTACCGGGCAACACCCAAACACCTGAGCCTGCCGCCAGGACTGACGGGAGGAGGGTGAGCCAGGAGATCAGAGAGACCAGAGGCAGACAGGCTGGCCCAGGGAGGACCTCAATGGCACCGGTAAAGAGGTCGGACTTTATGCCATGAACTGAGCATCGTAGACGGAGCTGAAACAGGGCAGTGACACGATTCCATTCATGCTTGTGAAGGGTCACTCTGGCCCTGGATACAGGAAGGAATGTGAGGGGGGGTGGGGCGCTGTGCTGGCGTCCAGGTGAGCAGCGGCCGTGGCCGGCCGGCTGACAGCAACAACGTGCGGCAGTGATATGTTTGGAGGCAGAGCTGCCCAAACTGATGAGTGAGAAGAGGAAGGAGAGAAATCAGTGTGACAAGTCTCCTCTGGGCCGGCACGCTGCTGACGGTCGTCCACTTCTTTACTGCCCTGGCCGGTCTGGCTCGGTGGATAGAGCGTCAGCCCACAGACAGAAGGGTCCCGGGCTCGATTCTGGTCAAAGGCACATACCTCCATTGCAGGTCCATCCCTGGCCCTGGTTGGGGAGCGTGGGGGGGCAACCAATGGATGTGTCTCTCTCACTTTGATGTTTTTCTCTCTGTGTGTCTCTCCCGCCCTCTTCCACTCTCTCTATAAATCGATGGGAAAATACCCTGGCGTGAGGATTAGCAACAACAAAAGGCAAGGACTGGGGGAGTAAGAGGGTTGTGGGGAGAAGGAAGAACACGTGTCAACGGTCAGTTTCAGGTGAGCAGTAACCAGCCCCGGGAAGTGAGAAGGGAGATGCCTGCAGACGCGGCTCCCGCACCCCTGGACGCTCCCGCCGGCGGCCTGCCTGTCGGGGCTGCTCTTAAAATAAAAGCAGCAGCCTGGCCGGCGCTGCGAATCACCCCAGTCTCCTCGGAATTGAGAGGAAACTTAGAGGCCACCATATCCACCCTCTCGTCTTTCAGATAAGAAACCGAATGAAGCCTGGCGATAGCGGACTCCCCCCAGCATCCCAGAGCCACGCGAGCGAGAAAGCGTTTTTCTGGTTCGTGCTCAGGACTCCTCGTACCCACAGCCAGGCTGTGCCCAGAGAGCAGGGGACAGAGGGACCAGGAGGGATGGCCCGAGGCTTCCGGCTGCCCCGTCAGCGGGCGGAGTTGGCATCTCGGTCCTCGTTCCCAGGCTGCGTCCGCCCATCACCTGGTCACCGTGCTCAGCCTGCACCTGCCTCGGCTGAGTCTCCCCAGCACACGGCCGGGCTGCACCCCGCGGCTGTGGCCCCTGAGGCGGTGGGGTGCCTAGGAGCCCAGCCTCCCCCGTCAGGGTCTTCAGGAGGCGCTGACCCTCCCCAAGGACGCCGGGCAGTGACGCCTCTGCCCCTGCCTCTCCCCTAGCATCTTCCTACCTGGCCATCCCTCGTCCCTAAGAAGCTATTCGAGGTCGCAGATGTGGTTGAAGTCCGGATGGCTTGTCTTCCAAGATTCTGCCCCAGCCCTGCATGTTACAGAAAATTCTAGAAATGGTCACATCCAAACTCGGTCGCATGCATGTTTCCTTTCAGTGCTCACCGGGGGCGAGACGTCTCATCCAAATGAGCTTTGGGAAGTTTCATCTAGTTATGGGGAAAGCTGTACTACATGCGGGGCTTCTGGTGGTTTGCCTCCTGGATGGGGGAGTAACTGGGCTGGTAAAAACGATTATCATCAGCCTCCCATTCACTCTAGAATTTCCTTTCATCCAAAAAAGGGACATTTCAACAGCCTTTTCATATAATTTTTTCTGGAAATATCCTCTCTGGGTATTCTTTTTGTTATAACACCTGCACAGCCCTGGAATCGCAGCCACATACCGCGGTTCTGAGATTCTGCCATCAGCTACAAAAATAAAACCCAAGAGGGAACAGCCCATCGGTACCAGGTCCACTCTCTCCATCCGATCAGCTCCCAAGCTGCCAAGAATCCCCACCGCGCCCCCCGCCCCAGACCGCAGACAGCGGGGCCCGGGGCCAGGACAGCGTCAGCACCCCGTCACACGGAGCAATACAAGTACTTACGGCATAAGCACCTATCAAAAATGCTGCGTTTGCTCTTTTCCGCTGGTCAAAGCAGGTGTAATGCACTATTTTCTTTCTTGATAAACTGTATGACTGGAGAGAGAGGGAGAGAGAGTTAGGGTGGCCACAGCCACAGGTGGACAGATGCGAGACACACCCTCTCTCTCCTCTCCGCCACGGGCCCTGGGGAACCCGCACACCCTGGGTTTCTATGGCGTTTGGACGTGAGTGGCGGGAGTGGAGGGTTCCCAGCTCGGACTCTCTGCAGCTCATCACGATGGAAGAGCTGGCACTGGACCACGTATGTGTCTCCCCAAGAAAGGAGACGCATACATTGGAAATAACTGAGTCACTAACTAGCATCTTTACCGGAGAAACCATTTCTGAAGATTTACTCGGATCTTCCATGTAAAGTCCTTTTCACGTCCCACCCCCCACACACGCCCAGAACAACGGTCTACGCCGTGCACATTAGATAGTTGGTTCTGACACGTGCCCACGTTAACGAGAGCACCGCACTCATGCCTTCCTTCTAGCGTGTCCTATACGAAGCCCCTCTTCATGATCTGGAAACAAATGGTCAATAGAAAAAGATGAACCATCAACAGGATTCTCTCAGCAAACATCTTAACACAACAGCCGTGTATTACATTCACGGGCTCAAACAGGTATTGAGCACCTGCTGTATGCCAGGCAATATGCTGCGTGCTAAGCATTCAGCTAAACCCAGAATAAGCAACATGGTGTGTGTGCACATGCCAGACAGGAAAAGAACTGTGCAAATAAGAAGGCCTGTTAAAACGAAATCAAAGCACTAATCAGAACTCAAACATAAAACGTGGAGCTCAATAACATCCTCAATTTCCTCATATTTCCAATATTATAGTATTTTTTCTTGTTGTTAGTTCTCACCAGAGGATATTTTTTCCATTGTTTTTTTCAGGAGAGTGGAAGGGGGAGGAAGGGAGAGAAAGAGAGAGACATCGATGTGTGAAAGACACATCCACTGGTTGCCTCCCGTACACACCCCAACCAGAGGTGAGGAGCGAACCCACAACCCAGATCTGTGCCCTTGACCGGGAATCAAACCCAAGACCCTTTAGTGCGAGCGGCAACGCTCTAACCACTGAGAACACCAGCCAGGACCCAAAGTTATAGTATTGTGACGAACGGTTTTCACAGTACAGACGCGTAAGTAACAATACTTATCCATAAACTCACACCGACGGTAAAGCAGCTTGCGATACCTTGCACACTGACCGCCGCACACAGAATATCTGCGCTTAGAGACCCCTTGGGGAAGGAACGGAGCCCAGCAACCTGCCTGCCTTTACCCCCAGCACGTCAAACCCGCGGCCACGGCTGCATGCCTCGCTTATTTGGCCCGTGTTCGCCTTTGAGTCTGACATGCTTGCTTTACCCTCATGTCCTCCCAGGAGGAGAAACCCGTCCAACTCAGAAGTCGTCCAAGAAGGCCCTGTACATTCTCGCCTTCACCCAGGACCCAGGGAGCCCAGTCCAGAGCCCTCCCACCCGGGCCGGGCGTGTCTTTGATAACCAAGCCCCACGTGTTCCGAACACGGCACTGTCCTTAGCAACTTTCAAATATACAATACAGTATTATTAACTATAGTCACCAACTGACCTTACAGTAACTGACCTGTTTAATAAGTTTTCTATCTGACTCTTAGGAATAGTTTTAAAACTGCTAGCATTTACCTTGCTTGGGCGTTTTTGGAGTTCAGGTGTTTTTCTCAGTTAATCTCAAAAGCACTCCAGTTGAGAAATACCTGCTCTGTGAAGCCAGGCCAGTGTCTCCCAGGTCAGACCCGTTCCTACCTGAGGAACTCAACCCAACTCCAGGTGAATGGTAAGGGGGAAACGGTGTGAGCTGTCTAACTTCCCTCCCTGCCCCAGCCAGGCCTCCCTCTGCTGGGTCGCCCTGCCCCAGCCTTACACCACAACACCGTTCAGCAGAAGACCATCTGGCACTAGAAGGACAATGTGCAGGCATAACAGAGCCTCTTTTATCACAAAACCTTTTGCCAGTTGCAGGTTCAATCCCGGGTTGGGCACATACGGGATGCAACTGATCAGTGTTTCTCTCTCACATCAATGTTTCTCTCAAACAAACAAACTGAGCATAAATTCAAATTTTTAAATAGCACTCATGCCCCCAAAACAGGTCTGTGGACTGCACGCAGCCTGGGCACCCGTTTGCTGAGGCTGGCGTGGGTTACGGGGGCTGAGCGGGTCGTGTTTGCTCTATCAGCGAGAGCGGAGCCCGAGTTGTGTGTGAAGCACAGGCTGAGAGCGGTAACAAGGGGCGCCAGGCACTAGCCTCGCAGCGCTCGGTCTGATGGATACCTGATGCTCAGCAAGGGGAAATACTGGCCAAGGCTGCCACAAACGGACCAGCAAGGGCCAGTGCTGACCTTCATGACAGGTACGGTCATGTTCAACAAGGGAAAGAGCCCTGGCCGGTTTGGCTCAGTGGATAGAGCCTCGGCCTGCAGACTGAAGGGTCCTGGGTTCGATTCTGGTCAAGGGCACATGCCCAGGTTGTGGGCTCGATCCCCAGTGTGGGGCGTGCAGGAGGCAGCCAATCCATGATTCTCTCTCATCACTGATGTTTCTCTCTCTCTCTCCTTCTCCCTTCCTCTCTGAAATCCATAAAAATATATATTTTCTAAAAGGGTAAAGAACGAGTAGATAAAAGGTGGGACTTGGTATTGCCTATCTATCAATTCACATCCTGAAACCTCCGGACATCCCCTCACCTGCACTGCTTCCCTGAGCGAGAGGCAGAGCTACAGCGCTCTCCTGGGAACGGACAGGCGTAAGGACGCACAGACACGCTTAATGGCACTTGTAAACCAAAGTCCCATGAGGGCGAGGACAGAACAGCACAAATCAAGGTGGAGGCCTCGACCTTCCTGTCGCGGGAAGGAGAGCGTGTGACCGGCTGACAGGCCGCGTCCTAGTGGAGTCACTCCTGGTGGAAAACCAGCCCCGGCGACGAAGGGCGAGGTGGGCCACAGGCCTCCTCCCGATCGCAAACGGCCCGGCCGTCCTGGGTGCTGGTGACATGCACACACCATGCTTGGCTCAGGACGGGAGGTCACAGACCATGAGCCGTTCAAAGCCTAAAGGTGAGGGAGGCGGGAAGCTCGAAGCCAAAACGCAAGAACAAACGAGCTCACGGCCAAATGAGAGCAGCGGTGTCTTCCCTCGGGGAAGGCGCTTGCATGCGGGAAAGTGAAGGCTCCCGGTCGTTGGGTGAGGACACCGTGTTTCGTTAGGCTGTGCCTCGGCCTGGCTGCAATGAGGAGACACCAGCACGGCCTGGGGCATCTGCTCATAAACCAAAACGCAGCCATGCAGCCCACACAAGCGAGCTCAGCCGGAGACGGGGTCAGGTTAAGTGGGTGACGGCCCAGGGCCCGGTGACCGAGGCGCCATTCTCTTCCAGGTGACCAGGCTAGCCCAACCACGGCCGCAGCCATCAGCGTCCCCATAGCAACAGCGGTCATCTCTCTGCAAAAGCCATCCAATGTGCTAACGGGTCCCCCTGTGCGCAGCCAGCGCCTCTACACGGTTTACCTCCAGCTTGCCCAGGAAAGGGATGTTCTTGAACAGTTTCGCTGGCTGCACACAAAACAAAGCACAGTTTACGTCTTCGCGCGGCGCTCCCATGCAGCAGGGGGAGTGGTTTCAGCAAAAAGGGAAGGGTGGCCCATTTCGTCCCACACCCACTCCGTAACGTCCGAGTCAAAAGATCAGAGAACAGCGGCTCGTGGACATCATGTGAGCAGGCTGATCCCACGGTCCAGCACGTGGGGATGCTCTATAAAGGGGGCTCCTCTCGCCCGGCCGGCGTGGCTCAGTGGTTGAGCGTCGGCCTCTGAACCAGGAGGTCACGGCTTGATTCCCGGTCAGGGCACAGGCCTGGGTGGGTTGCAGGCTCGATCCCCAGTGTGGAGCGTGCAGGAGGCAGCCGATGGATTATTCTCTCCCATCATTGATGTTTCTCTCTCTCCCTCTTCTCCCTTCTTCTCTGAAATCAATAAAAATACTTTTATTTTAAGGGGGGGTTCCTCTTGCTGGGGATTTCTGAATGGCCATAGGGGTCCCAAGTCTTACAAACTCCATGAGAGCTCCCTACCACGTGAATTCATGCTGCCTCGAACCCCTGACACCTCTATAATCCACAGGAACTGCCTCCAGAAGGTAGCTCACTTCCCCCCCCCGCCCCCAAAGCCCATGACCTGAGGCAGAAGATAACCTGGTGAAGAAATCTCAACATGTTTTCTGTGGTTGTACTGAGAGGGTGGTCTGATCATTATATCAAAAGGGCTTTTGTGTGCAAGCACCCGATACGGGGGCGGGGCCGGTTCCCAGCTAGGATTACGGCGCTGATTCACTCAGCATCGGGGACATGCGCCGGGCCGCCATCTGCCAGGTACCTCTGTGCCTCAGCACAATCGCCCGTTTCACCGGCCCGCCCCTCCCCACTCCACCTGAGAGGGCCCCGGGGCTCCTTTGTACATTTCCCATTACATTTCTGTCAGTATGCTTTCAGACCTTTAAAAGCAGTCCTCGGGAGCCTTGTAATTGGCCCGAGGGGTCATCAGACCAGGTTTCTGGTGTGTGTTTTAAATCACTGCCCGAGAATGTCCCCTTTTTCAGTAATACTCTTAGATTTCCCCTACACCCCCGGCTAGGGCTTTCTTTTTCTCCGGGGAAAAGTGAAATCAATAGTTAAAACTGTATTAACTCTTTTAGAAAAAGCTGGTTGAGCCATATCATGTTTATAAAACTTCCAGATTATTGAATCGGTAACAAAGATTTTCTTAAATGACTAAGTTTGAAGGAGGTATTCTGTTTTTAAAATACCACTTCTGCCCGGCTGGTGTGGCTCAGGGGTTGAGCATTGACCTATGAACCAGGGAGTCATGGTTCAATTCCCGGGTTGTGGGCTTGATTCCCAGTGTGGGGCATGCAGGAAGCAGCCAGTCAATGATTCTCTGTCATCACTGATGTTTCCATCTCTCTCTCCCTCTCCCGTTCTCTCTCTGAAATCAATAAAAATACATATTTTTTAAGAACCACTTCTTAGTCCTCTGTGAGTACAGGCTACTCTTTTGTAAGCCCTTATACTCCAGCCCAGCGTTAACACTGTCTGTGCAAACAATCCCTTTCAGAACCTGTTGGAAAGCTGTGAATCCTCTCTGAAGAAAAATGTAAATGCACCAACACTTAGCTTAAGTTCAGGAGTTTTTGAATCCCTTGGAATATCAGATTAATAATGGCTGGTCTAGCCTACCAATCATCGATGACATTTTTACATTAAGTAACATACACAGATTTACAAATTGTTCTCATTTTAATATATTTTCCCTCTCCTAGTTCCCTCATTATGGTAACTATTGACCAGAAATAGCAAACTATAACCCATTACTACTTAACTCTTGTACTTACACTTTTTAACGTCTAGTTTAAAATAAGAAACGAGGGGGTGGGAGGTGGTTTTGTTTGTGATGGTGGTTTCTAGTTTTTAGTTTTTGAATCTAAGCCGATGTTGGATAGAGAATTTTCTATTCTAGTCAACTTAATTAAAATGAAGGCCATTGGGAATAAAATGCCTACTAACATACACACACAACAAATAACAAAAGCCCTGGCTGGTGTGGCTCAGTGGGTTGAGCACCATCCCATGCACCAAAAGGTCACAGGTTCTATTCCCAGTCAGGAAACATGCCCGGGTGGCAGGCTCCGTCCCCAGTAGGGGGCGTGCAGGAGGCAGCTGATCCATGATTCTCTCTCATCACTCATGGTTCACTCTCTTTCTCCCTCTCCCTTCCTCTCTGACATCAATAAAAATATATTTAAGCCCTGACCGGTTTGGCTCAGTGGATAGAGCGTCAGCCTGTGGACTGAAGGGTCCTGGGTTCGATTCCAGTCAAGAGCATGTACCTTGGTTGCAGGCACATCCCCAGTGGGGGGTGTGCAGGAGGCAGCTGGTTGATGTTTCTCTCTCATCGATGTTTCTAACACTCTATCCCTCTCCCTTCCTCTCTGTAAAAAATCAATAAAATATATTTTTAAAAACATTTAAAAAATAGACCAATGTTGACTATATGACCCAAATTCCATGATGACTGCCAGTTCATCACTCTTACTTGGCTGTAACTCTACCAAACGACATTCAGGAAAAACTGAACTCCTGGTCGGACAGGAAAACGTAGGTTCCAGAGCTCTGCCGGGCAACGCTGAGCCCCTCCACCCGTCCCGGGGCACCCAGGGTAGCGCAGACGCGAGGGCTCAGAGCATCCACCCGGGAGCGAACCGGATGGGCTCAGAAGGACACCGAAAGGCTGGGTGCTTCCTTCCTCAGATCCCTGCCCAGAGACTTCCTTCAGCTCCGGTGCCAATTCATCCCGACACATGAAAGGGTCGGCACGCCCTTCGGGGGGGACCCATTGCAACTTCTGCGGGGGCTTCTCCCATGAACTCCCAAAGGCCAAGATCACCGCCCGACGGGTGCGCCCGCACTCCCGTCGGCCAGAGCTCACAGTTCAGGGTGTCGAGACCAGAAGAGAGACAGCACCACGATACTCACTTTCAGTTTCTTGTTCAGCTTACAGCAGTATCTGTACACCATTGCCAAGTTCAGAGGTCCGAAATCTGCATAGAAACTGGGATTAAGACAAACAGGGAGTTAATACACATGTCATTGTCAATCACACGTGTGCTCATTTTCTTTTCATTAAAGCTGCCATCGAATTTCAGTTATCTTCAGGAACAGGGTCAGTTTATAACGGATTCACAGAAATCCAAAGGACAGGCGGTCTCAGCGCACAGGCACTCGGGCACAACAACCAGCATCTCACAGGGGGCCAACCGGACTGCTCTGCGTCCCCCTCTCTTTCTCTCTCTAACCTGCCAGGACCTTCACCTGCCAGGCAATGAGCCCCACGAACACAGCACGCATGTGGCCTCCGCTTGCCGCCGGGTGTATTTCTTTATCACCTCCTGAGTCACAAAGCTCATGGGCCCTGGGTTCCAATTCCAAATACTCCACGCAAACCTCGCTCTCCATTCACCCAGTGGCCTCTGTTCATTCTCCCTGGCCTCTGTAATGTGTGACTCACCGGCTCATCTCCCTCTCTCCACCCCCTGACATCTCCAGGACACGGTCATCAGTCCGAAATCACCCATAACCCCGAGGAAAACGGCTCCTAACCTGACGCCAGCACCCGCCTTTTCCATCTTCGACTCCCTGCTCAGCCTCGCACCCACAGGTGCTCCCACCACCTGTGTGAGCAGCACCAAGAGCTAGCTAGCCCGGCCAGCATGGCTCAGCGGTTGAGCATCGACCTATGAACCAGGAGGTCCCAGTTCAATTCCCCATCAGTTCACACACTTGGGTTTTGGGCTCCATCCCATTAGGGGGCATGCAGGCGGCAGCCAATTGATGATTTTCTTTCATCATTGATGTTTTTCTCTCTCCTTCCTTCCTCTCTGAAATCAATTTAAAAATATATATTTTTTAAAGCTAGCTAATATTAATAATAGGAAGAGAGCAAAGGGGAGGCCAGACATGATCCCCCATGGCCATCTGGGCAGCTTCACCAGGAAGCTGCAATGTCACACTCCCCAGGGAGCCACCGGTCCACTCCCCCCAGATCACTGGGGAAGGGGTCCAGCAAAGGGGGAGGCGGGCGCATGCGCAGTAAAGTCAGGGTGACACAGGGGAGGTGCTTGTCTGTCAGTCTAACCTGGGAACAAAGATCATTGGCTGGAGGGGCAGAGGCCTGCAAGCACGTGAAATCCTGAAATGGTCATTGGTTACGCTCCTAATCATAACCCAAGACGGAGAGTTCTCCCTCCTGCCCCTTGTGCTCCACTGCTGCTTCCTGTGCTCACTTCCCTTCCACACCAATGAACGAGTGAACAGACGCCCTCACCTAGCTGATGATGTGTTGTTGTTTTTAGCAAACTCTAGTCTAAGCAGTTCCATTCCCGAGGAATCACTGCTTAGAGCACGGCGGTTCCTTATTTCCCATCCCAGAAGTTTCGTCTGAAAATGTTCAACTCCTCGGCCAAAAGACGAGCTACATTCCAAACAATGCTCATTCATTCAACAAAATGTACGCCCACCAACTGAGCAAGGCAGTGCCCATTGGCACATTTTTCATTGACTTTACTGGGGTGACACTGGTTAATAAAAGTGTATAGGTTTCAAGGGCCAGTTAACGTATTAATCCAAGAATGTTGACAAGACAAAAAAAAATTTAACTGCTTTATAAATAGATGAAAAACAAGGCACGCCAGCTCTTCAGTGTCTTCCCAGCCCTGCTGATGTTTGTCTGCTCGCTCACTCGCTCACTCGCTCACTCACTCATGCGGGGTCTTTACCGAAAGCCGGCTGACCGCCCTTCCCTTACCCACAAGGCGCTCACCACCCAAGGACACGACAAGCCAGTGTATCATTCCAGTGCTACAACGGCTGAGCCGCAGTGGCCTCCGACGCAGAGGGGTGTGACACCCGTGTAGGCACGTGTACATAGAAATCGTGGCTGACATTCACCCGCCCGGCCCTCTGGGCCACACACACTGCCCAAAGGCCTCCCTATCCCCGGGCGATTATCAGCATCCCTCCAGTCAGACAATAAAGCTCCTATACCTGGCTGAGACTCCGAACAGTCAGGTTTCAAAAAAGCCGAAATTGCTCAACAAACACTGACCTAAGATCAAAGCACCGCCTGAGTTTTTGCCGGAGCCCTCCCGGTGCAATAAGCCACAGTCGCACGGACACTGGCCCCCAGGGAAGAGACTGCACGTCCAAGAAGTGCCCAGAGGGAAACTGGGAAGCAAGGGGTCTGGTCCCCCCTGGATGCCTCGTGTCCCTGGGCTGGTGTCTCTGCCTGTTGGGCCTCCACATCCTTATCTACCAAATGAGCTGCTGAATTCATGGCTTCTGAAGTTCGTTCCTGATATTAGGTGGTCTTACCCGCACGATTTCTATTCTATCGCGTCACATCGCCATTCTGGCCGCTGTATGTATTTCGGACTATTATGTATGATCGTATTTAATTTACACATCACATGGTAGGTGAAAAGGAGGTTCTATGGAAAGTAGCCTCTGAGCTGATGTGATCATAAATTCCTACCTGGGCAGGTCCTGGAGGGTAGTCACGCCCCAGACACGGAACGTTTTTAGTAAAAGGTTTCTCTTTGCCTCGAGCAAGCCCTGTCCCTTCTTCTTGTGCCTCTAGGCTAACATGCCTTTGAAATAAGTGAAAAACCACCGTCCAGAGAGCACAGAGGTTACTGTAACTATCCTGGAATTCCAGCCCGCCTCGCTTTCTCCCACCCTCCTGGGACCTGCCTCCCTTCCCTCCGTAACTCCGAACGCACTGCTGTCTTTCCCTGCAGCATTTCAGACCTGCTTCCCGCACTGTCATCCGTGTGGCTCCAGGACATTCTTGTAAAAATCCTCTCCAAGCCGGGACGTTTCGTGACCCGGGGCAAGCAGCGGGGCCACCTCAGGCTTCCGCTGTGGCTTCTGCACAATGGGTTTGGCCTTCAAAGCCAAGCAGCCGGTTCGATGGTATCCATCGGGGTCTGCGAGTCTGTGACCTCCTCCTGGGAGCAAGTCAATTAATGACAACCCGCTTGGAAGCCGAGACAGTGAAAACAAGACTCCAGGAATGCACTGGGGAGGCTCCATTCCCTCCCACGGAACACTCTCAGGCGGCGTGGGTTAACGCCTTCGTCAACCGCAGGATGGAAGGCGAGTGGGCCACGCAGACGGGAGACGAGTGGCTTTGGTACAAACCAGATTGATGAGCTCGGCTGATGTGGCTCAGTGGTTGAGTGTCGACCTATGAACCAGGAGGTCAGGGTTCGATTCCCGGTCAAGGCACATGCCCAGGGTTTCGGGCTCGATCCCCAGTGTGGGGTGTGCAGGAGGCAGCCGATCCATGATTCTCTCTCATCATTGGTGTTTCTCTCTCTCTCTCCCTCTCTCCCTTCCTCTCTGAAATAAAAAAACAAAACAAAACATTTTTTTAAAAAAGGAAAGAAAAGCACTAAAAGACACAAGATGTTTAGCGAACAGACACGATCTGCGACATAAGCAGAGAGCCCTGATTCTTTGGTGGTCCTGAAAATATTTAGTTGATTAATAAAATTCAATGTTTTAAGTAAATCAAAGCCAATGCTCGAAAGTCTGTCTTTCAAGAAGCCATGCATCCCACACATAGCGAGCCCAGCTCCATCTGGGAGCCAGAAAGGAACCTGAGACAACGCGGCCCACCCACCTCCCCAGACTTTAAAGCAAGAAAGTATCTCAATATCCCGGCCAGCATTGTCTATTTCCTGCTGAAAGACACAAAGGACACAGATCCTCTTTGCCTTTCATTACAGACACACACACCCTCTTTATTTTGTCTTCCCCCCCCAAAATCAAACAAAGCAACAAGACATCCTTCTGATGTGCATACAAGGCCTACGTTAAGGTGCCACTTTCTCCCAATCACCCAAAACAGAACCCCTAAATTTACCCTCCATTCCCCTCCCCCTCCTCCTCCTCCCCCTCCTCCTCCTCCTCCTCCTCCTCCTCCTCCTCCCTGGTCATCTGGTCAACCGGTCAACCTATCCTTTCTAGCCCCTCCCCCACCTGGCCTTTCTGTTCCCATTGCTACAACATAAGGCACCCAACCGGCCGGCCACCACCCGCCTGCCTGCCACCGGAGTGCTGTGCTGAAGCCCAGCTGTGGTCGCTCTCTCTGCCACTCACATACCAGCATAACCGAGATCCAAACGCCTTCCCCTAACGCGGTCCCAGCCGCGTGCCCAGCCTCGCCTGTGACCCCTCTGCATCCAAATATTCCGCCTCCCCTAACAGAATCTCGCTGTTCCCAAACACTGACTTCTTTTTCTTTCTTTCTTCCTCCCTCCCTCCCTCTCTCCGTCCCTTCCTCCCTTCCTTCCTCCCTTCCTTCCTTCCTTCCTTCCTTCCTTCCCTCTCCCCTCCTTCTTCACTCACTCAGTCATTCAGCTAACATTTCCTGAGCACCATCTGTGTGCCAGGCACTGTGCTGGGTGTAGGGAGACAACAGTAAGCAAGTCGGGCAGTACTTGTCCCCACAGAGACCATACATAGACCCTTTGCTCTCCCACACCCTGCAAGCTAGTTCAGACGTCGCTGTGACGTCATCACGCTGGCGGTAGTCACCTCTCCCTCTCTGGGACTCCTGCACGTACATTTGCGGCTTCTGGCGTTTATTGCCCTGTGCATGTGTCCACTTCCTTCTCTATGTCTTCGAGTGGCCCCAAAGCAACGGCGTGGCGCTCTGCAGGGAAACCTACCCCATCTTGAACCAGTGTCTTCTGTAGCAGTCTGCAACCACTCCCACGTTTTAAGGCAGCGGTTCTCAACCTGTGGGTCGCGACCCCTTTGGGGGTCGAACGGCCCTTTCACAGGGGTCGCCTAAGACCATCCTGCATATCAGATATTTACAATATCATTCATAACAGCAGCAACATTACAGTTATTAAGTAGACACGAAAATAATTTTATGGTTGGGGTCACAACATGAGGAACTGTATTTAAAGGGCCAGAAGGTTGAGAACCACTGTAATGGATGCTTTTTTCATGTCCCATAAACATGTGTAAGTGTTTTTGTTT